ATTTTTTCATTAAATTTGAGATGGTTTCTCTTTTTTAAAAATTTGAAATAGTTTATCTCTCTAAAATTTTTTAAGTAGTTTATTTTTCTAAAATTTAATGTAGTTTCTCTCTAAAATTTTAATATAGTTTCTCTCTAAAACTTAAAATTTTAGAGAGTTTCTCTTTCTTAAATTGTTCATGTATTTTCTCTCTAAAATTTTTGAGATAGTTTCTATTTCTAAAATTTTTTAGGTATTTTCTCTCTCTAAAACTTAAAATTTATGATAATTTCTCTCTAGAAATTTTGAGATAGTTTCCTGCTCTAAAATTTTTTAGGTACTTTCCCTTTTTAAAATTTGACGTAGTTTATCTCTCTAAAATTCTATAATAATTTCTATCTCGAAGACTTAAAATTTGAGATAGTTTTTCTCTATAAATTTTTTGAGATAGTTCCCATCTCTAAAACTTTTTAGGTAGTTTATCTCTCTAATAATAGCTATAGTTACTCTCTCTAAAATTTTAAGATACTTTAACTCTCCAGAACTTAAAATTTGAGATAGTTTCTCTCTCTAACTCGTTGGGGTGTTTTGGCATGATTAATTTATATGTTATAAAGTAAGGGGCTCCGTAATGGGAAACCAGGCAAGAAAGCAATTTTTTTAAGGTAAAGGAAAAGATATATATTTTCTTATTTTTGGTTTGAATTGAGGAAAATAATTTATGCCAAAATAGTTTTCTGTCCTCAAAATGCCAAAAAATGTGCCATCTCATAGAAAAACATTTCTGAAAATATTTTTTCTGGAATCCAAACGGGCCCTTAATGTTTAATACGACAATAGTGTTATTCAAGAGAGAATCCTAAACCTTAAAAGCATAGTCATGGGCAATTCCGAAAAGGCCGGCCATTTTTGTAGAAAAGATTTCACTCTTGATACATGAATCCTTTTAAAAACTTCATTATGGAAAATGATATTTTGCCAACAGCAAGTTTAAATGAGGAGTTTTGCAATAAATTTTCAATGAATTTCATTAACAAAGTAGTTGTGTTGAAATTCTGGCTCGTGTGTGTGCGCCTATGTAGAATGCTTCACACTTAAATATATTCTAGTTTAATGATTGTTGCACCAGAATCTCCACGCCTTTTTTTAGTAATTTAGTGAAAATACTATATTTTCCTCCTTGGACAAAAAAGGTGAAGCATTTTGCTTCTATTAGCCATACACCATATGATGTATAGCAAATTTAATTGGGATTAACCAAGTAGCAATCAGTGTTTGAAAAATTGAATTGGCCTAAAAAATCGGTCAAGGTCTGGTTTCGAGTAACTGGTAAATGGCCTAATCGGACAAGTCCCGACCAGTCAAACAAGTGTTAAAAAAAAGAAAAAAAGTACAAATAAAATATAAAAAAATTATGAAAAATATATTTAAAGCATGATTAAACAAACAAAATCTTAAGTTGAAATTTAGGGGAAAAAATGGATTTTCAAATAATTCATTTGTGCCCAGGTGTATTTTTTATTTTAATTTTAAAAAAGATGGGTAACACTTTCCAAAAATGCTAAAAAAAATAAAAAAAAGCATTACAAACAAGGATTTTATACAATTTTTTTTAAAATGCTCAGCGAGATCAAAACCGGAACCAGTTCTGATCTAACCCGCCGGTTCCGAGTTGAACCGACCGAGTTTGCAAACACTGGTAGCAATATCTTGGAATCCAACCTGCTCGAGCTCTAAACCAGCATCTGAGTAACCTATTTTGTTTCTCTCATAGGAAAGGAGGGGATCAGTTTCACCCCACTAAGCTGGGAGATGCGATCAGCCATAGCATTCCAAGCATCCTCAGCAATGGCAATGATTCACAACCAAGTCGATCACGACAAACAAGCCCTTGTGCTGGGTGTTCTAAAGCCCTCAAACATCATGGTGAGGCCTGATTTCTCAACATGTCTAGCCAGCCTTGATGCCTCATACCTCACCCCACCCATCACCATCATAAGGCGAAATCTCGGGCGTGCAGCTCCTGAACTTAGGCGGTCTAGAGAAAGCCCAATTCTTTCTTGCAAGTCGGATGTGTATAGCTTCGGTGTTCTTCTGCTTGAGCTTGTCACAGGAAAGAAACCAGTTTTTGACAATGGACATGGGAAAGAAATCACTTTGGTCGGATTCGTGAGGGCGAAAACACAGAAGGAAGGAGTAAACACTGCATTTGACGAAAGAATATGTGATGGTGTGGAAGATGGTATGACAGAGATGATGAATATTGCTAAATTGTGCCTAATGTTAAACCCTGATGAAAGGCCTACAATGGTAAAAGTGGTAGAGATGATACTGCAACTCAATGTTAATAGCAACTTCTTAGGCGTACCATAGTATCTGGAGCTTTCATATTTTGTAAGTGGAATGGCTATTGTAAAATTGTAATATTATTGATAGTTGACTGTTTGGTATAAGCCCTGGATTTATATGAAATATGTAAATAATATCCTAGCAACTCTCTCAATATTTTCATTATTTTTCATTTATATTTGGAAAAAGGTTTATATGAGGGCGGGGCCCTAAACAATTAGATTAAGGGGCATCTAAAAACTCCACTAAAAAAGGTTATTTCGATGCTCAAAAATCCGCAAATCCATCATCTCAACCTCAAGATATATTGACATGAGAAAAAAATAGATTTCAAGTCTTGAAAATAGTCCATTTATGTACTGTCAATTTTCAAGATTTTTTGAGTGTTCATAGATATGCTCGATCTACACTATTTTGAAAACTTTAAATTTTATAATTAGATACAAAAATAAAGTTTGAAGCCATCACAAAGATTTCCAGTACCGACAAACATATTCCGATACTATTTTAAAGGTGCGCCATACTTCGATTGTTTGGGGACTCAGCCCTATACAAAACACACCCTTATATTTTAGTATGTGTTCCATGTCTACTGCACATATGGATATGTGGCCTGATGAAATCAATCTAGCTAATTATAAGCCTACAATAAGTAACTCAAATAATTTGCTAGAAAATCTTAAAAAAATAGAAATAAATAAATGGATTGAAGATATGAGAATATAATTGAAATGCAATAGCAAATATCCATGGCTTTCATTTTTTAGATTCTAAGGTAACAACCCAAGATAAAAAAAACTCAAATTAGGCTACAGAGTCTTATTCTTAAGAATGTAATGTTTAATAAATTTTTTGTTACGTGGATCTTAGTCCTCTAATATAAAATTAAGATACCAAATATATTAGTTTAGGAGGTCCACCCCTTGCAGGTGGGAGGACTCCGATGGAATTTAGAAAATTGCCAATTGCATGGGCAATGGAAGAGAGAGAGGAAGGGGTAGAATTTAGAATTGATATGAGAGTGAAAATGTTTGGATAGGGATTTTGGAAACCCTGATCTAATTCTAATTTTGAATATTCCAAATCGGGAAGGAGGATTTAGATAAGGACACGGTTTCTATGCGGCCAGCCCGCATATTGTAGAAATGTGGACTTGGAAATAAATATATTTTTTAAATATAATTTGATCTTAATTTTTAGAGAATATATAATCTTTAACATGGAGATTATGAATATGGAAAATAAATAAATTTTAAAACTAAAAATAATAATTATATTAAGAAAACATTTGGACCGTTAATTACACTTGTTTTTAGATGCAGCACCTATTTGCATCTATATTTAAGATTGATGTTATATACATCTAGATCACATATTGTAGAAATGCGATCCAGCCAGCATCAAACAATTTTCCTTTAGATAAATGAATCTAAATCATTTCCAGTTTGAAAAGGGAAGAGAAAATCTATCCAAATTGAGAAGCGGGAATGTTACTCCCCTAGACATCCACATCGCTTTCTCAAACTACAAAATGCGGAAAAAATAACGTCGGAAAAGAAGAAAAAAAATAAAGAAAACCAGTGCAGGTTTAGCGGTACCTAAGTTGCAGAAGATTTCGTAAGAGGAAAAGAGAACACCAAGCAAGATGATGACAATACATTGAAGAATGTATAAAGAGCTTTCTCTCTCTATATTTATATATGTGGGATGATCAATGAATAGAATCAAGAGAGAAAAATCAAATCAAGATCCTCTTTCTCTCCCTTAAAACCAAGAGAGAAAAATCAAATCAAGATCCTCTTTCTCTCCCTTAAAACCAAGAGAGAAAAATCAAATCAAATCAAAATCCTGTCTATCTCGGATGTAGATAGGGGTGGCAATGGATCAGGTTGAGTCCAGGTCGACCCCGAACCAATTAGGTTCCACTTGGACTCAGACCTGGGACCAAAGTTGGATCCAAATCATTTACACATAGACACAAACCAGACTTGGATTTAGAAACTAAAATAAAATAAAGGGAAACTATCAATAGAGGGCATGAAACCCCTTAACAATATCATTAAAGGGGTCCAATTTTCTCTGGTAACATTTAGGTACTCCTTAATAAAAAAATTAAAAAATTGCCCTATTTGGTATTTGGATTTTAAAAATTATCAACACTATAGTAGTTCGTACGGTGTTATTCTGGTTTTGAATTTCTCATTTTGTTTCTCTCGATTTTTTTTTTAAATTTTTTCAAACTTATTACACCAAATATCCTTCTTGCGTGTCCAACAATTTGCTAATGATAAACGAGTTGGTTTCGAGATATTGAATTTATTATAGTATAAAATATCCACTACAACAAGAATCGAATCGAGCAAGTCTCAGTTCCCAACACATTTCTTCGAAACCACAACAATGTCAGCAAGCCAACTGGAATAATCAACTGCACTGATACAACCATCCCTGGACTGCCTGTCGTGTTTTGGAAGAGATCTCTTAAATGTTGCAGTTCCTCTCAAGTTGGTCACCAGATTTTGCCGCAAATGTACAAATTGCTCCCGCGGGAGCAAATAAGATTATCCATTTGAGAAATATATTAACAACATGGGTTTCCACGTGTGCACATGTGAGAGTCATTGTATATTTTGTACGGGGCTTAAAGCTCAAAGAAATAAATATAAGAGTGATTTGGAAGGTTAAAATGTGGTCAAAACTAGTGTCACCTGTGAAACCTAATTCTACACCAACATTTTAATGCAAAACCCTACGCCAACCCCTCTCCACTAGACTTTTGTCTCTCTCTCTATGTTAAACACAAAATAATGAAAACACCCAATGCTTTTTAACAATGACCAAAACATTCAATTTCTTGACATTTGACCAGACATTTATTTTTAATTTTTTTGGTGTACTTTGTATAAAGTTCAGGCCTAAACAATCGTGCATCTTCAAATATTATTGAAAGATATTGTTTTATTACTAAAAATCTTTGTAACGGCCTACAATTTATTTTTATCTCTAATTATAAAATTTAAAGCTTTAAAAAGAGTGTAGATCCAACAGATCTATGAATACTTAAAAATCTAAAGAATTTATAGCTCAAAAAACGCAATACAAGATGCATTATTTTCAAGATTTGAAATCTATTTTTTCTCATTTCTATACATCTTGAGGTCGAGATGATCGATTTGAAGATTTTTAGTCATCAAAACAATCGCTTCTAGTGAATTTTTTGTTTGCGCCTTAATTTGATTGTTTAGGGCCTCACCCTTATATAACCTTTTTTTTTTTTTAATATGTTCATCCGAAAGTGACCCTCTTGGGCTTTGTATAGTATTTGTGTTCTAGACACCTTAGAGAGACAAAGAGAGAGGGAGAGATGGGTTATAACTTATGGCAACTGGTGGTGTTTGTTTTGGTCAAAGGTTTGGGCATTTAACTGGAGAGAGAGAGAGAGAGAGAGTGTGTGTGTGAGATGGAGAGAGAGATAAAGGGAGAGATGGTTTATAGCTACTAACAATTGGTGGAGTTTGTTTTGATTGAATTTTGGGTATTTAGCTGAAGTTTTGGGCATTTAGTCTTCGCAAAAATTACTACATGTATTTTTAATAGGAAGCAATTGGGTTCACCAGTGCATGGGGCATTTTGGTCCTCTAGAAAAGACTAGAGCTCAAAGGATCAATATTTGAGAAGACCTAACTTTTGGACTCTCACTCTCCTAAGTAAAACCTGAATTCATGTGGATGAACTACCCTTGTGCATTTCAAACCAACTTCAAAACTTATACTTGTGGGCTTCTCTCTCACCAAGGATTCAAATTCTACCTCTTCTTCCCATTTCTCAAACCAAACCAAGAATGGGAGACTACTCTTCTTCCAAAGACATGAAATACTGTGCCCTACTTTTGCTCCTCTTGAGCTTCAATGGAGGCACCATGGGTGATGGAAAGTTAGGAGCCTCTTTCATTTTTGGGGATTCACTAGTGGATGCAGGAAATAACAATTATCTTTCGACTTTGTCGAAGGCGAATATTGCGCCGAATGGGATCGATTTTCAGGCCTTTGGTGGGAGACCCACCGGACGATACACCAATGGCCGCACCATCGGTGACATCGTCGGTAGGTTAAAACTCTCTCTCTCTCTATCTCTCCTCTCTCTCTCTATATATATATCTATATATATGATTTTTGATGAATTTATAATAATCTCAAGAGTTGGTTTTTGTGTTATAGGAGAGGAACTCGGGCAGTCAAATTATGCACTCCCATTTTTGTCACCAAATGCTACAGGAAAGGTCATCTTAAATGGTGTCAATTATGCATCAGGTGGTGGAGGAATTATGAATGGAACCGGAAGAATTTTTGTAAGTTTAATTTCTCTAACAAAACTGTGAATTTGTGAGGTAGAGACAGAGAGGTTCATCATCATCATAACTTTTTTCAATTAATTGGGGTCGGTTAGAGAGAGACGTTAAAAAAATAAATACATTCCTTATCTGTGCATGCCATGGACCTAATGAATCTTTCCAATTTCACAGATAGGGAGGATCGGAATGGATGTTCAGATCGACAACTTTAACACGACGAGGCAACAAATGACGCAGCTACTTGGGGAATCCGCAGCGAGGGATTACGTAAGGAATCGTTCCATATTCTCGATCACCATCGGCTCTAATGATTTCCTGAACAATTACCTCCTCCCTGTTCTCTCAACTGCTGAGAGGATCTCTGTTACGCCTGAGGGTTTCATAGACCAACTCATCACCAATCTCCAGGCTCAGCTTAATGTAAGTCACCGCTTCCACTCCCATAGAGGCTCAGGAGCCATTTGTATCCATATAAAAACAAGAAAAAATTAATCAAAATGCACCTGAGACATGAACTATTTAATATCTTATCCATTTATTTTGATTTAATTTCAAAAACCCATTATAATATTCACATTTTTGGAATAGTTGAAAATGGGTAAAATGTTAAATAATTGATAAAAATGCATGCATATGTAAGATATTCTAAAGGAAAGCCTTGTATAAAAATTTAAATAAGATTTTATGCTAATTAATTAAAATTTCAATTGGTACGTGATGTTAGGGCTTGGCTAGAAGACCCCAATTCAGAAGCTAGCTTGTATCCCCTGTCCCTTATTTTCAGGAGCGTGTAAACTATGCTCCCGCAGAAGCAGAATATTTATTTACACCCTCGGGAAAAATACTTACTTGGAATATGTTTTGCTTATTTAAAATTTTGGGATCCATCTAAATATAACTAGATGACTATTGTCTAAGAGAAAAATTTTGATTTATAAATCTTAAGCATCTACATCTTTCCCTTCAAAACTTGGATAGTTCTTCTTTAATCTTAGGATGCCCTTTTTTTTTTTTTTTTTGAAGTAGGTAACTATGTTCTAGAGATTGCAAAATTTAATATATCCCTTGGGTTTTGCCTGAGGGAGTAGATGGATAGTATACTCCTGCAATAGTAGAAAATATTTTAGCCATTTTTTAATAATGACTATAATGCCCTCATGGACGGGAATGACAAGATATGTTTTGCTGTGTATTATGCAGAGGCTTTATAAATTGGATGCAAGGAAATTTGTAATTGGAAATGTGGGGCCTATAGGGTGCATTCCTTACCAAAAGAGCATCAATCAATTGAAACTCAACCAATGTGTCTCCTTGCCCAATAAATTGGCTGTGCAATACAATGCTCGCCTCAAGGACTTGTTGGATCAAATGAACCAAAATATGCCTGGTGCCAAATTTCTCTATGCAAATGTCTATGACCTTGTCCTTCAGCTCATTACCAACTATGCAGACTTTGGTAAGTACTATTTCTATTTTAATTTTGGAAAATATATTGTCTAAGTCTCGGCGGCCGGCGACCAGCCCCCGGAACAGGGTAGCCCAGAGAAGCCAGATTGAAGCTCAAAAAAATGAACAGCTAGTGTTGCATGATTGTTGCATGATACGAAACTTCTTTCTCTTTTTTTTCCTGAAGGAGTCCTAGTGATAATCTTATCTAAGCACTTTAGATAAAGATTAAAAAAATAGATCATCATAATTATCCAAGCCTTATCTCAATTAATTAGGATTGGCTACAAAATCATGTTTCTCCATTCTTCTCTATCAAGCCTCAGTAAGAACAATAACATAGGTTTTGGATTCATGATAAGATGTAGCAAAGGTTTATGCTACTTACCTACATAATGCAACCCACCTCTACTACTCGGGCGTGGGTTGAGTTAAGAGAAAGTTTAAGGTCTCCCTTTCTAGACTGAAAATATAAAGAAATAGATATGCACCAAAAAAAAAAGGGTGCAGCGAAATGTGCGCACAATTCTTAGCCATGTGGATCGTTGTTTTTACTTCAGTCTAGATCGACCGGCTTATATTGTTCTACTGGCCGGTCGGCTTGATGATTTACAAATTGTTTTGTTTTTTGAATTATATAAGCGATTAAATCCTATAGTGTGAACATATTTTTTTTGTGCTGCTGCAAATTTTTGGATATTAAACTGCTTTCCTTAAAATAGAACGGTTTTGGATGGGACATTATTCCTTTTTTTGTCAAAGATAGATGAAAGTTATTGGTAACCGGCAATGGCATTTCTTAGTTGTTTATCACCCAACAAGGGGGGTCAAATATTAGTTGGTATGGGAGTATAGCTAACTAACTAATGCATGCTTGCTTTTAAAGAATTCCCTTCTAGTCATCAAAATGAAGAATTCCCACGCCCTAAGTCTGTTTCATATTTTAATTCCATGTCCATCCTAGAGATGGATGTTCGATGTTCAAAAGGGACGCATGACACACACAAAACTTTTCCTACAAACAAATTGTTAGCACCTCCCTAAATGCCAGATGTAAACTCAAAGTCTATCGAAAAATTTAATAAACTTTGCGCGGAGGAATGGCACATGTCAATCATCCCTTGTTGATATCGGATGGTTGGAAAGGTGCTAGCAAGCTGTTTGAGACCCAATAGCTAGCATTGTGTACAAGCTCAAACTAAAACATAAGGAATTATAATGGAAAGGTATATAATGAGAGGAAAGGTTTCTATATTTCCCCTATAGCATAGAAGGTTTATGCTTCCCTTACCATCCAGCCGTCCAATTTTGATCAAGAGAGCCACTGACCGTTTGATCTTAGATCCGACGTCTTAAAGTATTTTATTTTTAGTTTTTTTTATACAAATTGTATGAATATGCAATCTAGTACGTGTCATCTTCTCATTGGGGCACATCTATAACAAAAATATTAAAAATAAGATTTCAATAAAATATAATGATTAAAATACCCCTTGAAAATTTTAGGGGTATTTTGGTCATTTTATTTTATTGAAAATATTTGTTTTTTATATTATTCGTTAGTGGGAGTTTAATAGAGGATTGGGCGTCCAAAATTTGGTGTCAAAATATGTATAGAAAAAAAATTAAAAATAAAATAGTGTAGAGACGTGACATTGCGATTGGAACAATCTTAACCCTCCATTCAGAATGGACAGTTGGATAAGGGGAAGTATATAAGTTTTATGCTGTAGGGGAAGCATAGAAAGCTTACCTTATAATGAGACCATTTATTTTTGGTACAAGATGATCACAATTAATCTTGACTATGGATGTGAAATTTGGTGGCTGCATTTATTCTGTTGACCAAGCTCAAACTTCAAAAGAAATTATCTCAAGCTTTGTGACACACTTAAGCTATAAGATTTTATATCGGATGGTTGTAAGTAATTGTGACCTCCACGTATCAAAGGTAGATGATCTTATTGTATACAATCCCAAAAATAATATAAGAGAGAGAAAATGATGGGGGTATTCAAGTGGTTTTCTTCGTGTTTCAGGGTTTGAGAGCTCAAGTAGGGCATGTTGTGGCAATGGAGGGCAATTTGCAGGTATCATTCCTTGTGGGCCAACTTCTTCCTTATGTTCAGATAGATCCAAATATGTGTTTTGGGATCCATATCACCCAAGTGAGGCTGCCAATCTCATAATAGCCAAACAACTTATTAATGGTCCAACTAAATACATCTCACCCTTGAACCTTCGCCAGCTTAGAGACTTGTAATCTCTCTCTCTCTCTAAAATTATATTGTGACCAAGTAGAGTCAATCATCTATCTTAGGTCAGATGTAATTTAGATTTTGTTGTTTTTGTGAATTTGTATTGATGGAGCCTGTTCCATTGTTGTTGGTGTTCATTTCTAGTTTTTTTTTTTTTTTGAGTGCAAACTTGTGTGTTCATTTGTAGTTTGTACTAGAGTCTTGTTGAACTATATATATAAATGGAGGACTAATTCGTTGATTCAAGACTAGAGAATGAACCAACATCGGAACAAGTTAGAGCAAGATGATTTAGTTGCCACCCTATATAAGAACATGATGCATTTTACCCCTAACTAGTGACAATGGTAATATCATGAAAATCATGTCCTTTATGAGAATTTTTACATAATTTAACATTTGGTAGGGTTTACATGACGACGGGGAACCTTTCTATGTGCCAGTAGGTGTAGGATAATTATATATGCCACCCCTTATAGAAGATAAAAATCAAGGTTGGATCAAAATAAGGAAAAGACAAATAATGTAGAAAAATAAAAGAATAAAAACATAAATATTTACGTGGTTTGGCAAGTTGCCTACATGCTACAAAGTTCTTCCACTAATCAGAAAAATACTATGCAAGTATGGAGAATGCAAGGGATTACTTGCTATCTATCTCAAGCCCTAAAACAAGGTATTCGCTCACGGGAATACCCACCCAAAAAGACTAAATAACTAACCATTCTCTCTTGTATAATTCTTCAATGTGTTATTTTCTCTCTCTACAAGATGTTACTTATAAATAGGAACCCCATGGGAGACCCACGCGACTCTCTGCCATTCCTAATTCACTTAGATATCCTACATCTATTAGGATTCCATTTCCCATCTTTTAAGGAGTAGGGAAGTCAATCCATATCCCATAGGTTCACTTGACTTTCCCTTAACCCCAAAAGGATTTACATCTTATAAAATAGGATCTCCATAAATATGGTAGAGATATGTTGTTGTCAAATATCACAAGTTCCTATATCAAGGAACCATATCTCAATGTGGCTTCATGCCAATATCTCAACATTCTCCCACTTGAAGACATGTTTCTATTCTAACTTGTCTGTTCCAAAAATTGATGCCCACCGGTTAGGACTCATTAAGTAACCACAAGCCCCAATAAAGTTATGCACCAAGTGAACTTCCCCTTTCCAATGAGCTTAGTCGACGTATCCGTTGGATTGTCATCAGTATGCATTTTTGGCAATAAATTTTTTCCATCTTCTACCACATCATGAATAAATTTATATTTTCTAATGGATGAGTGAACCCCATTTATAAGCATTGGAGCTTAACCCCTTGCCATATATGACATGTTTTGCATCCATTGGTCTAGGTTTCTCTCTGCCCATATCAGTAGCTAAACATTTCTTTTTATCATTCTCTCTCTCTCTTACCTTAAATAAAAACGTTTGGTTTAATGTAACCGTTGGAATAATACTGAACATCGATATGCTTAGTTCTGTTATGGAAGGTTAGATTCCTTGCTAGAAACAAGGTACTTTAGTTATCACAATGAAGCGGAATACCATCTTGCACAGCTCGAAAGTCACCAAATAACATGTTTAGCTAAATTGCTTCTGTAGATGCATGAGTAAGTGACATATACTCAACCTCTGCTGAAGATAACGCCACCACAGACTGCAACTTGGATAACCAATTAACTGCATCACCTCCCAAAGAAAAACCATATTTTGTAGTAGATCTTCTTTTATCCAAGTCACTTGCAAAGTCAGAATCGACATAACCAGTAACTTTCAAATCCATTTCACTATAACAAATACCAACATCACAAGTTCCCTTCAAATAATGAAGGATCCATTTCACAGCGGTCCAGTGATCATGACCAGCATTTGCCATATATCTGCTCACAACTCCCACTGCTTGTGCTATATCAGGTATGGTGCTAACCATAGCAAACATAAGGCTCCCTATTGCAGATAAATACGGTACTCAAGACATCTGTGTCTTCTCTATTTCAATGCTAGGACATTGTTTTGAAGACAACTTCATATGCACAGGAAATAAGGTACTAACTCGTTTGGCATTCTGCATATTGAAGCGCCGTAGAGCCCTCTCCACATAACTCTTCTAAGTTTACCAGATTTTTTTGCTCTTCCTGCCTCTAAGTACACTCATCCCAAGATTTAGGTTAACGGCTCCCAATTCTTTCATCTCAAATTTCCTAGCCAATTGAGCTTTAAGTGTTACAATATTCACTTTGTTTGGTCATGCAACAATCATGTTATCGACATATAATAGCAAGTTAATAAAGCTTACATCACCGTACTCCAAAAATAGGCACAAATGTTAGCTTCACATCTTCGAAATTCAAGCTCAACATGAAAGAGTCAAATCATTGTACTACACCTCGGCACTTGCTTCAACCCGTACAACGATTTCTTGAGCCTACATATCAAATTCTCTTTCCTTTCTTTAATAAAACCCTCAGGTTCAGTCATATAAATTTCTTTTTTTAAGTCACATGAAAAAATGAAGTTTTTACATCTAATTGTTTCAACTCTAAATCAAGAACAACAACCGTAGCCAAAATAACTCTAATAGTGGACATGGGCACAATAGGAGAAAAAATCTCATCGAAATCAATGCCTGATTTGTGAGCATACCCTTTCACAACCAATCGAGCTCTGTGCCTTTCAATAGTATCATCAGGACCTTTCTTCTTCTTGAAGACCTACTTGTAACCAATTGCCTTTCACTTATCTAATAGTTTGACGAGGTCTTGTGGTTTATTCTTTCGCAGGGCCTCCATCTCTTCTTCCATAAATGTTTTCCGTTGACCGGCTTCATCGACCTCACATGCCTCACGAAAAGAAGTTGGCTCACCCTTTTCTATTAAGCAATCATAGGATAGTCGTTAAACCTCACATGAACCTTTTTAGGTCTATCAGATCTTCTTAATTTAAGATCATCTAAATATTCTTTAAGCTCTTGGACAATTTCGGGTTCTTGGTCCTCACCATCATTTCGATGGTTCTTATGTCTACATTCCACCTCAACAGTTTTTGCATCTAGCGCATCTTTCTTCTTCTGCATAAAATTTTCATTGAAAATAACATCTTGGTTAACTATAACCTTGTGGTCAGTAAGATCCCACAATCTATACCCCTTTGTACCATCAACATAACAAAAAAAAAAAATACAATTCTTGGATTTTTCGTCTAACTTAGTTCTTTTCTCTTTTGAGATGACAAAATATACATCACAACCCAAAACACGGAGGAAAGAATAATCAGCGGGTTTGCCTGTCAAAACTTCTTATGGTGTCTTGTAATCAATAACAAAACTGTGTGACTATTGATTTGGAAATAAGCAGTACGAACTGTTTCTGCCCAGAAATACTACTCTAACCTAGCAGCACTCAACATACACCTATCACGTTCCATAATAGTATGATTCATCCTCTCAGCAATACGATTTTGCTGAGGGGTTACAGGAACTTTTTAGCAATACCATGCTCAGTATAAAAATTATTAAATTCACTAGAACAAAATTTACCCCCATTATCAGTTCTTAGACACTTGATGCTCTTGCCTTTCTGATTTTCTATCAAGGGCTTAAATTTTTGGAAATAACTGAAGGCATCTAATTTATTTTTCAACATATAAGCCTATAACTTTTTTGAAAAATCATCAATAAAAGTGACAAAATATGCAATACCCCCCATAGAAGCAGTAGGTGATTCCCATGTATCTGAATGAATCAATTCCAAAAAAATCCGTACTTCTAGCGGTGGATAAAGCAAATCGCAATTTGTTATGCTTTCCAAATAAGCATGACTCACAAAAATCTAAATTAAAAGATTTTAAACCTGGGAGAAGGTTTTTATCGAGAAGTACCTTGAGTCCGCGCTCACTCATATGACCCAAACGTGCGTGCCATGTCATGACAAAGTCCACCTCTACAATATTGGCCTCTCCCAAAATGGTTTCACCAACAAGCATGTATAAATTGTTTGCTAACTTTCCTTTCGCAACTACTAGTGCTCCTTTTGAAATTTTCAGATATCTATTTTTACCTGTAAACTTGAAACCTGGCTCATCAAATTTTTCCAAGGACAAGAGACTTCTTCTGAGACCCAGAACATGTTTGACACCCGGGATGGTGCATATGCCTCTATTGAACATCTTGATTCTTACATCTCCGACGCCCACTATTTTACTTGAGTCATTATTTTCCATGTAAACAATACCTTCATCATATAGTTGGTACTTATAGAACTAATCCATATGTGGAGTCATGTGAAATGACACACCTAAATCAAGAAGCCAAACCTGCATAACTCCCTCCCTATCCACAGACAAAATTTTTTCATCTTCAAAAAAGTCAATATCTTTTACTAGATTTCCTTGATAACCACTTGAACTAGGCTTCTAATTATAACCATATTTAGAGGCTTCTTGGTTCCCTTTTTGTGCCTTACAATCTTTTCTCATATATCCAACACTTTACTTTCTTATGCGTTCTTGATTTGGATCTTGACTGATCTTTGCCTGTAGTTCTCCCCATTGATATTCCCTATGCAACAAACACATTCCAAGAAGAATCCTGACCAAACTTTCACCTAGACTCTTCTTTTAAAAGTGTTGAAACAATGGTATCAAATTCAAAAGATTTTACACTACTGAGATTCATAATTAATCCATCCCAAGATTCCGGTATAGAAAAAAGTAAAATAGTTGTTTTGTCTTCTTCATCAATCTTTACATCCAGTGACATTAACTTGCTAATTAAGACATTAAACTCATTTAGATGCCATTGTTAAGATGCACCATCACTCATTTTGAGATTGTAATGTTTCTGACAAACAATAATTTTATTAGGAAGAAACTTACCTTCATAAATATATTTCAACCTATCCCATAAATCTTTCGTGAAAGTTTCAGATGAGACATTGAATAAAACAATCTCATCAAGCCCCAATAAAATTCGTTCTAGCCAATTCATCCTTCTCATTAAATTCCTCATCATCCATCTTTTTTGGTTTATTTTATCTGCCTTTTAAAGCCACTACACAATCCATCTTTCACCAACACTGCATGCACCTTTAATTTTCAGGTTGAGAGTTCAGAACCATCAAATTTTGGAATTTTATATCTGTTGAACTTCTTCCAGCCATCTTCAAAGATCTGCGATCTACCACAAACCTTATGCCCAACAAGGATAT